TAAATATCTAATTCCTTTCACGGCTGTGCCGCACACACGAGTCTTTTAGGTACAAACGCCTGGAAACAGCCGGTGTGCGGCGGTGCGTGCCCGGAGGGGAACAGAAAACCCGCGCGCCCTCGCAGCGGGGGATCCACCCTGTTCAGGGGACTGGAGCCGCGCGCGAACCTGTCTGGGGGCCGAGCCCCTCCCTCGCGCGCCCCGGGGACCCGCTCCCGGTTCCCTATCGAGTCCCAAGGACACTCCCAGCCCCGCCGCCCTAAAAGCATCCCTTCCGCAGCCCGCGTCCGCCCGCCCCGCCCCCAGCCTTCCAACCGCTTCTTTCGCTCTCTGGGGCGGATAATTACCCTCCGCTCGCCTGTTCTCCCTTGTTTAAAGTTTGTTTTCTAAATGTCTTCTATTAGATTATGTTCGTTCATTCCCCCTCCAACCTTATCTCCTTCTGTCTCTTCTCTCCTTGCCCGTCACACTCGATTTAGGCACGAGTTTATCTGGCACCCAGTTTGTCGACTTTGTTTATTTACCGCGGGTTCTGGGGCCGCGAGCGCGCGAGCGCTAGTGTTTGCCTTTGTAATAAGTTATCTCATTGTTGTTCTTCGCTCCCTCCTTCCCCTCTCCCTTCTTCGGTTGGGGGAATGGAGGGAAGAAAGGGGAAGTCTCAGCCCAGGATGGGCTCGCCTCCACGCCAGGATCTACTCCTGCACACCCCCGTCTCCATTCACCCCATCCCCCAGTGCATAGCGGAGCCCTCGCCCCCTCCCACTCTCCCTCTGAATATCCACCGCCGAGCGCTGCCTAAAGCCGGCGAATTGCCTGACACCCTCCCATCTTCCTCCGAGCCCCCATTATGCGAAGCTGATCCCACTCTGAACAGCCTCAAATCCCGCCTGGACTCTGTTTGATTAGATTGCCAACCCAGGGTAATCCTTTGATTTGGTGGAGTGTCAATTACCTTTCTCTAAACACACATTTACAGAGGAGGGAACTTGTTGGTTTAAATCAATGCAGATTGTTTCTTGATAAATGGACTATCTCGGTACCCACCCTCGCTCTCCCAAGGCCCTACTCCCTTTGCGCCTCCTCCCCTTCCCAGTTCTCGCCTACCCGGTAAACAATGCCCCTTCCAGGTGTGAAGCCGGAAAAAAAAAAAACCGGAGTGGACTGAGGGCAACCAGCCCCCCTTCCCCTATTCATTCGCTCCCCCGGAGCCTAATTAAATTTGGCAGGTCCTTGTACACACAATCAAAACAGCTTCCTCCAGTGTAGCAAACGACCGAAAACCGCATTAGCAGCTATCGCCGCTGCCAAATTAAATTGTTTCCCACCTCCTTTTACAAGTGTCTAGAACCGACACTTCAGGCTCTCCCCTCCTTTCCCATCCTTCTCCGTCATTTCCCACTCCACACCTGTAAATTTGCTCCTTTAAAAATAAATGGAGGAAAAAGGCAAACACAAACCTGTCTTGCACAAACTCCCTCCATCCCCCCGCCTCGGCTGGTCTTGCATACCCGGGAAGTCAGTAAATTCTCATATGGACTCATGACACCAGCACTTTTCTCCCCAGAGGAAAACGCACACTCTTCTTTTTAATCTTGTGACATTTTTATTTATTTCATATTAATCATGACCCTGCTGGGCTTTCTCTCCTAGAGACCAAACCTGGAGCCCCAGGTCTGATCTGGTCAGTTTCAGCCTAAATTTGAGCATTGTCAAATACAGGAAGCTTTGGTGTTCTTATTGTTTATTACTGTTGTGATCGATTTTTTAAAATTATTGCTTATTTTTTTTCACTCACTTACTCAGCTCCCACAGAGGAATGGGTTTGACTCTTTGCAAACCCCTATCAAATTTCCCACAAGAGACTCCCTAGGCTCAGGCTGGGAAAATCTTTTTCTTTTCCCAGTTAGGTCTTCCTGCCTGTCTCTCCTCCCATCCTCGAGAAGAAGCGAGGAGAATCCAAGGGGAGGAGAGCGAGGAACTGCCCATTTCCTTCTCCAGGTGAGCAGAGAATGGCCAGAGTGGTCTGTCCACAGTGGTCTGAGAATTCCCACCACCAACAATCCTAATAACTCAGTCCTTAACAAGGATAAGAGAGAAAAAAATATGAACAGCCTCATGAATATCAGCCCAAGGGGAGCAGGAGTGAGCTGTTCAGAGATGAAAGTGCACAGAAATAAAAGCTCAATTTAATCTGCTTTAAAACCCTTCAACTTAACGTTTGTGCTTCAAACTCTGAGAGTGAGAACTGATTGCGGATAAATAGTTTCTTACCATGCCTGGAAGCTATTACACCCTTCTCCAACACAGTTTCCTATTCAGCAGTCCCAGTTTTCATTACCAGCTCTAATAAGTCTTAACATTATTAAATGCCAAGCGGACGATAGGGAAAAACGGACTCAGGGAGGGATCTCTCTTTAGCGCTTAGAAAGGAGAGCTGTTAAACCCCTTCTTCGGAGGCTCCCTGCCATGAGAGGGGCAAGCCCCAGAGAACACATTTGTCAAGAGCAAGAAGCCAAAACAAAGTTTGTGGGTGTGCAACCTGCCCCTGCTCTGCCCTATGGGGCTTATCTCTGCTTCTCCCCACCTGGCTGGCTTGGGTGGAGATTGGGAGGTGTTTCACCTTTAACTTGGTCACAAAACTGATGTCTGGGGCCTGGGAGAGAGATGAGAGTTCCCAGGGTTGCTGACTGGAGAGCTGATTTAATTTGTCCACAGATGGATAGATAACCCTCGCTCATTCCCTCTGTCATATTGCCTTTCGCATCCATCTACAGCCACACTGCACATCCACGCAGAATCCCACTCGCACAGAATACAACCCTTGGCCCTCTGATCCAAAGACTTGTGGGCAAACAGCCCAGCCGAGAAACACATGTACTTATGGCCACCCAGCAGTCACAGTATCCAACATGCTCACTTGTCACTCAAAAGCCAGGGGACTTTCATTCTATTTCTGCAACTCCTCTCCAGACTTGGTGCCTATGCTCTCAGCCTCGGTGCCTATGCTCTCAGCCTCCCACCTGTAACTGCCAGGCTCCTCATTAAACCCCTGGAGACTTGTAGCTTCCTGGTTCTGCTGCAGCAAAAACCTCCATCCAGCGAAGGTGCCTCTTGGCTGGGTTTGTAAGCCCTGACTAGCACTGGAAGCCCTGAATCCCCTCAGGTCAAAGGGATCCCCAAACCACACGATCGATCTTTGTGTCCTCTTACTTTCCTTTCCTTCTTTGCCAGAATACATTTATCTATTGTGCACAGTCACTGACTGAATTGGACAAACCCCTGCCACACACACACACACATACACACACACACCTGCGGATAAAACCAAACCTTCTGCTTCTCCTGGGGTACCTCTCAGAAGTGGGTCTGCTTGCAGTATTTGGCAGAAGGTTATTCAAGTTCTGTGTCCCCCCCCCATCCCACAGAGTCCCAACTAAGTCTCCTTCCACTGTGAACTGGATCCCCCTACAGAAGGGCTCTGGGTTGCCTCAGCTGAGCCAGGGGCTACCTGGCAGCTCTGGCTGCTTCCCTCTTCAGACCGGAGGCCCCTCAGCTGGCCCGGCACAGCGGGGTGCCCAGCACAGCTCACTCCCTTTCTTCCCTGGCCCTTTTGTCCCTGGCGGGACTGGGCTCCACTTGGGGCCCTGCGCGTTAATCACCCGCCCTTTCCCCAGCTCTAGCTGCTCTCACAGGGAGCTGCCCATGCCCCTCCTCCATCCTTCTACCTCCAACCAAGCCTACGGGGGCTGGGCCTCCCTGGGAGTTGTCTCTGGAAGCGGGCTTTGTCTGTGAAGTTCATCTTCAAGGTTGGGAGAGACTAACGAAAGCTGGTGAGACCTGGGCTAGATGTTCTGGGGAGGCATGAAGAGGGGGTGCCTCAGAAACCTCTGGAAGGAAACGCCAACAAAACGTGTTCTTCGCAAGATTCCAGGTTCAAGGCGCTCCCCGACTATTTCCAAAGTCACCGTTTTGCCAGGTTCTCGTAGCCACTGACTTTCCTGTCTGCCTTATGCCTCCCTGCCCGTGGGTTTGGGGGCTTGCTTCTTGCCCTGTCTTGTCTTTGGACTCTGGATCTCCCGTTTCTATTTCTCCCCACCCCGACTTAACGCACACTTACCAAGTCTCACAGAGACTTTCCAGGGGTGGGGGTACAATAAGGAAGGACTTTCCCTTCTCCTGAAACTTCCCCGCCAATAAACAAAAGCACAACCCCTTTCCCCGGGCGTGCAGGCGCTTGAAAGATAAATGCTTTTTCTAGATGACGGTGAGAAAAAACAGGGCGTTGGGGCTCAGACTTCAGCTGGCTCGGCAGCCGCGCAAAGTGGGGAGCCGGCGGGCAGAGACCGAATATCTCACCCCCTCGGATCCTCCTACCCTGGGCAGCTGGAAACTTGCCCTCAACTCCCGGCCCCGCTGGAGGAAAGCACCTTTGCACCCATCTACCCCTCGACTCCACAACATCTCAGTTCGGGCACTGCGAAGCGGGGCTGAGTTAGGAGGCGGCCCACGCGGCCCTCGCTAATTTTTATTGATTGCAGCGGTCAGTCAACTGTCAGGCGGGGTTTCAAGGGACCGTTTAGAGAGCGTGTGCGGGTCTGGTTAACAAATTCATTTAGGGAGCCGCCCGCCAGCTCCTCCTTCCTCGCCCCCCTCCTCCATGCCCAAATTTCCTATAAATAATAGATCCACCCGGGACCGGCAGCCAAAACGCCAGCCCCGGAGGACACACGCGCCGGAGTCCTTGGCTAGGCTGCGCGCGCCGGGGTTGCACAGTTAGCGGCGCAAGCAACTCTAACCTGCAGCTGGGCTCGACGCCCCGGCGGAGGGCATACCGAGGGGGCGCTCTCCGCAAAACCGAGAGGCCCCGGCTGCCGCGGACGCTGCAGTTCTCCCGCTAAAGTTGTGTTCGCCATCCTTGGGCGGCGGAAGCGAATCCCTAGCCAGCACGTTAGCATGTCCGGGAACGCGGGCTCGGGGTCCGGCCCGGGAAGGTTCCCTACCTTTGTCGCCCAGGATACCATCGATGCTGTGTTTGGCCTTCTTCTCGCCATCATCGTCCTTCTTGTCCACTTCCTCCTCCTCCTCTTTCTTCCCGAACTTGATTCTGAGCACGCGGCTAATCGAACTCACTAAACCTCAGAAATTCAAAGGCAAAAGAGTGGGTATAAGTTGTTGGGGCAGGGAATGCGCAGCGGAGCTTGGGCCCCTGGGAGAGTCAGGAAACCCCTTTGGCCCAACACCAGCGAGGGCCTTCACACCCACTGCCGCTCCACATTTAAGTATTAACACCTGTTCCAGGCGCAGTAAACCAGGTAGGGAAGTTGACTCACACCTGGGGCACTCACCCTGGTGGCAAGACTGTGGCCGAGGAATCCACCTGGTGCATTCTTACATGCAACCTTGCACACACGTATGCCTTACACTCTCACACACCTGAGATGCACACACACCACTTCCCCAGGACCTCCCTGGATGCCCTCTAGTCTCTGAAGCTGCCATCGCCCCATCAGTGTGTGTCCCAGCCCGGCAAGCCTGAATGCCACCAACACAGGCACTCTGACACCCGCCGGCCCCGCCCCAGGCCACTTTCCCAACATGGGCAGCATGGTGCAGGGCCTCCGCATTAGAACATACTGGGGGCGGATGACAGCAACAGAATAGAAATAGTGACTTGGGGAAGGGGTCCAGGGAGCCCATGGAGATCAGCCCTCCTAGGACGCCCTACTTCTCTAGGTCACTTCTCTGACAAAGCACCCAGGGAACTGCTTTCACCACCCAGCCTTAGAGAAGAACTTATTGCCCCTTCCTTCTTCTCTCCCTTCTTCCTCCATTCTTTCTTCCTTCTGGCCCTCCCCTCTCTTCACTTTCTCTTTCCTTTCCTTCTTCCTTCCTTCCATCTTCCTTTTGGTTTTTGTTCCTTCCTCTGCACTCTCACCCACTCTTCTCCCAACTTTTCTCCCAATTCCCTGGCATCCATCACCTCCCCTCCGCTCCTGCCCTCGGCCCCACCCAGCCTGAGGGCACTGGCTGGCTCTGGGCAGGCAGGCTCCGCTGGCCCAGCTGCCTTCTCACCTGAGGGCACAGTGCTGCGGTCACAGTGCCCATCCTTCAGCAGTCGGTCTCGGATCTCCCAGCTGAACATGCCTGGGTTTTCCCTCTTGTACTCCTCGATCTTTTTCTCCACATCCGGAGTCGCCACCTGCTTCAGGGATGGAGGTGGGAGAGTAGGAATGGAAAGGTGGGGTGGGGAGGAGGGAAATACTTTTAATATCAACCTCCCAAGAGCCCCAGGCCAGCCTGGTGACCCTGGTCACCATGTCCCCCTTCTGAGATTGACTTTAGTCTTTCAAGAAACCTGTTCCTGGCTCCCAGGAAGGCGGCTGGGGTGGGGTGGGGGTCGGGTAGTGATAGGTAATAAAATAGAAACTTAAGTACAACCCCTAGGAGTCCAGCTTCCCCATCAACCCTTAGTATTTCAGGCAAGGCTGAGAGGAGATTTTCTCTTGTCTGGGCTGATGACAGGGGTTGGGACAGATATAGGGACAACCCAGGAAGCCCTCAAAGTCTTGGACAACCTGGACCTCAGTTATCCCCATCCCTGGGAAATTCAAATAATGGAGGAATTAAATGGAAGTGGGGACACTCTCCTACTGTACTTTCCATAGGAAGCATATAGACACCCCAGTGCTACTGGATAACACAAGGTAGTGAGAGGGGCTACAGTCAGGACCCCCAAACCTGGGAAGGCCAACTGCCAGCTCTGCAGCAAAGACACTCACTCTGGGCTTGCTGCCGCCGATGGCCCCAGGCCGGATGGACCCGGTCTCCTGGTAGCGGCAGAGAATCTTGGAGACACAACCATGGGAGACACGCAGCTGGCGGGAGATGACACAGGGCCGGATGCCGTGGTGGGCCATCTCCACTATCTTGTGGCGGATGTGGTTAGGCAGGGGTCGCCCGTTGATGAAGACCCCACCAAGCTGGTTGACCCGGCCTTGGCCAAGTGGGGTGGACACTGAAGAAGGGAGGGGAGATGAGGAAAGAGGTGGGCACAGGGTGAGGATGAAGAAGGGACACTGAGTGTACCCCTCGATCCCAATTTTGTTTGAGCCCCAAGACCACTGACAGCAGATCTTTGAGTTGCCCACACATGGAGCTGCGGCAGTTTAGAGGTCAGGATAAACGGTCTGGAAGCTAAGGGAGGATCCTGCGGGGACAGAGAGAGGAGTTACCGCTGGTTGGTAGAGTCCCTCAGATGCTATGTGCCCCATTCCTGCCACACTGTGAGTAATGCAGACCGACCTCCGAATGCCTCTGAGAAGGGGAGGGACAGAGGCGGGAGGGTCTGTGGAGCCTGGGGGACTCTGGGACCAATGGCTCTCCGTGCCCCAGGCTGCCTGCCTCTTAGAGCTGCCGAAGCAGGTGAGATGTGGACCATCTAGTCAGTTCCATGGGCCAAGTGACCAAGACTGATCCATTTTATTGGGGGCTAGAAAGGGCTGGTAGGTGGCTAGTACTTACAGCCCTGACCGGTTTAGCAGAACTTCCTATCTATAACTGAACAGCCAAGGGACAGGTGACATAATGCTGCTGGCTGCTGCCTCTGGAAACACCTGGCTGTCCCTCGAAGGACTCCTCTAGCTTCCAACCTCTTTCAAAGTTCTAATTTCGTTTTGGAACGATTTGGGGGTATGCTCTGTTGTTAGCAAACTCCAAATCAAATACTTATTGGCCTCAGAAATCCATGAGCTGTCTCTGCAGGGTCTGAGAGGTTGGCACACAGATGGACCCGAGCCCCAAAGTCTGGGTGACTTCGGGAACCAGGAAGACGGTCACCCCTGGTGTACGCTGAGGAGGAGAGAACGCCTGGGAAGCCTTAATGCAAAGTCTACACAATTTCCTCACAGAAGGCTGGGGGACACCCGGTGCACTAATCCGGCCTCGATCCCCCCAATTTAGGGACTCAGCGGCTGCGGAGATCTGGCAGATTAGAACGATTTCACAGCCTCCGGAGTGGAGGGAGCCGACGTATAATTGGAAGGGAGGAGGCGAGAAGAGGCTCCACGGCCGAGCTGTTCCTATCGCCTCCTCCCTCACGCTCCCAGTCCCCCCACCTCTCTTTATAAAAGTAGGTGTCTGAAGCCACCCTCGGATTTAATCAGAAATCGTGCGTCGCCAAGTCAGAGTCACTCGGTCTCCGTGGCGGGATATGCCATTAGCGCTCAAGAGCTCTCGAGAGCCCAACTTTATATTCAAGAGCCTCTTTAGCGACCGGCACTCGGCTCTCCTCAGTATTCTCCGTCATGTTGGGCAAATATTGTTCTAATCCGCTGCGCGTCCTCGGCCGCCGGTTTTACTTGCATTCGCTACAGGAGAGTGCTATGGCAAATCCCCGGGCTGTGCGCTCTCCCGCCTGCGTGGCTGCTGGCGCGCACTTGATCACGGAGCCAGTCTCTTCGCCTCTGTCTAATTCAGGGACCTGCGCCGCCTCGCTGCCAGAGGGACCCCCCTCCCCAGATCGCAGGCCGCCTGCCCGTCCATCCCCTCCCTGCCTTCTACGCCCTTCCTCACGCTCAAGGGACTCACAATTACAAGAGTAATTAAAAAATAAAAGTCGCACCGAGCTCTAATCAGTTTTCTCTGACACCCCAAGCTATCTGCCCCCCGGAACCTGAATGATTCCCCCGCTGACAGGTTGGAGGCCTTCCATTCGTTTACAAACAAATCAAAAACAAAAACGCGGGATAGGGTCTCGGCGGCGTGCGCCCAGCCCTTTCCCGAGTCGGGAACCGGTTCGCCGCCCTTCCTCTCTGCTCACCCTGGGTGCTGAATAGTGAGAAAGGACACATGACAAAATCAACCCTTTCCTCTTGTCCGGACACTGCGGTGTTCTCTCCTCGTCTTGAGGTTCTCTCTCGGGACATTTCCAGAGTTCAGAAGCCCGAGTGAAAAGTTTGCAGGAAAAATCGTTACTATTTATTATTTCAAGTTAGTTCGTTTCTAGACCAAAAAGCAGGAATTTCTATGTGTTGCTTCGGAAGAGGCGGATAGCCTTCGTTGTCTGGATGCATAAAATATCACACGTTGTTGGTTTTTCGAAATACAAGGGATTGGAAGATCATCCCAGGGGTGAAAAGAACAATTCAAACGAGTAAAAAGCGCGCAGCCGGCGAACGCAGAAGCCGAGCAAGTATCAGGGGCAAAGTATCGGAAAATAGTGGAAAGAGCTGAAATTCACTAGGACCCAGAATTTACGAGGAGCCGGAATGTACTCGGAGTTCAATCCCGAGAGAAAAGGCTGGAGCCGGGGGGCCTGTGAGGCTGAGGCCGCCGGTCCGTGGAGCCCCCGCAAACCCGAGCGTGGGTGCCAGAAACTTCCAGGGTCCTGTGCCCGGACTTGGACCCGGGAGAGAAGGGGACCCCCCTGCTGCCGCCACCCCGCCCCGGAGATGGCCACCTCTCCGAGGACCTGGAGCTCCCGGCGGAGGGAAGCGAAGCGAGCCCGGGCGCCCTTACCTTCCAGAGGAAACCCCGTGCGGGGATAGTTCTGCCCGGGCGCCGGCCGCATCATCCTCGGCACGGATCCGGGAAGCGCCGCCATTCTTGCGCACGCCGGGGACGAATCCAGAGTCGGCAAAAATCGCTTCCCGTCCGCTCCCTTTGCCCCTGCTGCGATCTCTTTCTTGCCTTTTTTTTTTTAACCTCTCCCCCCTCCCTCCACACACGCTCCCTACCTCCCCCCCCAGCTGCAGGCGGACGCGTCCAGAAGCTTGGGGAGGGGATGAGGTGGGGGCGGAGGCGGGGGGAAGGTGGCGACAAGGAAGTTCAAACAAACAAACACACCAACCCCAAGTCCGCCTCTGCCCGCTCCGCTCAGCCAGAAGTTGTGCGGGCGGATGCGCCGGGCAGACCCCGGAGGCGAGGCCGGGCGCTGGAGGCGGGCTCGGGGGACGCGGCCAGAGTAGGGCCCCCGGCCTCGGACGGGCGATCGCGGCCCGAGTTTCTGGGCCGGGAGACTGCGGAGTGGATTTCTTTTTCGTATTTATATATTTATTCTCTCGCTCGCGCTGCGCTCCCCTCCCTCCCTCCCCCCTCCGCACTCCTCTCCACGCCTCTCTCCAGACCACACTCGCTACTCCCTTGCACACGAGCTTGCACACCCCCGCCCCCCAGAAGACGGGGGAGGGAAGAAGGTGCCTCTCGGGTTTCGGGGCTTGAAGGGAGGCGACAGCGGGTGACGGGGTTGGGAAGAGAAGAGGGAAAGCGAGGGGGCGAGTGATCCGCTGGCTAAGTTGTGCAAAAGTGCCCAACTGGAGTACAGGGAAGAGGAGGAGGGGGCAGCTGAGAGGTTCGGACTTTTCTTTTACTCATGAGGAGGGACGGGGGACCAGGGCAGAAGGGAGCCGAGGACCCATAACGAAAAGAAACCGCCAACGAATTTTTTTCCCCTCATTTTTCTAACCCGTGGCTCGCTCATTTTGGGAGAATCTGAACTGTCCGTGAAACAGAGGGAGCAGAGGATGGGTTGAGGGGGGCGGCGGGGGGCTGCCAGGTTTTCCCAAGTGTCTTCTGTGACGAATGGGCCGGATCCGCGGCGTGCCCAGCCCCTGGTCGCCCACCGCCCCTGCCCAGGACCTGGATGCTTGGGAGCGTCTGCCTCCGGTTGGTGGCCCCCCTGGATTCTGGCCTTTCAGGGTCAGAGTCCGCTGTCCTTCACATCTTCTTCTTCATCCCCTTCACACGCTCCGAAATCCCCACCAGTGGGGCCCATGGGGACGGCCCAGAGTGACTTCGAGGGAGGGATTTGTGACTTCATGACAGAATGTGAGTCCCCGGTCCGGTTCTTGCCCGGCCTCCTGCAGCTCTGAGTAGCCCTGAGCGACTAGGTGGGGTCTAGTGCTTAGGAACCGGGTGTGCCAAGGGTTAGGGACCCATCTCTTCCTCCCCTCCCCACCCCCTTCCACTGGCCCCTCTCCAGAGAGGCTTAAACCCGTTCTCCTCTTAAGGCCCCCAGACCACAGTTCAGACCCCCTTCCAGGCCAGTACAGCTACTGGGTGCCCGAGATCTGGGGGTCCAAAAGGGTAGGAGGCGGGAGTGCTCAGGACTCGGTGCCATCCTGAGCTCCTCCATTCTGAGCGCCTCCGCTCAGAATTCGCAGTGGTGGTGGTGGTGGTGGGAATGCCCCCGTTTAAACAGTCAGGCATGCGGGGGGCAGGTCCTGCAATTCTGCACTCTCCCCAGATGGAGTGACCAGACCCTCCTGCCTGGGGGACACTGAGACCTAGGGGCGAAACGCCCTCCCAGCAGGACAGGACGCCAGGACCGCAGGCCTTTTGTCTCCCCGGGGAAAGAGTGTCTCCGGGCCAGCGCTGGAGGCAAAATACAATAAAATAAACCCAGCCCTCAAACTGGGCCCCCACCCCCCAGCCCACCTCCAGCCCGCCCTCTCCCTGGGGCTGGGGTCAGCCTTGTCTTGGCCTAGGGGTCTCTCCTCTGGCTGGCCCCAGTGTGCTCCCTCTCCTCCCCTTTTCCTCACCTGTGACCTTTGCCCTGCTCAGAATGTGACAGACTCCCTCCTTCCCCCTCTGCCAGCGCAAGGGGCTCCTCAGGCTCTTGGTGAGGAGGTGCTCTGGGGATGGGGGCCTACAGGAAAACTGTTAAACCCACGCCCCCATCAGTGGTCCTAAATTGAGGAAGCTGGAGGGCAAATCGTTTTAGAATTGGAAAAGGGGAGGGGTGGTGTTGCCTTGCCCAGATTAGTGTGCCAGGCTGCCTGATTTACAGGAGCCCTGCAAGGTTCTCTGGTCCCTTTCTATCCCACTATTTCCACTGCCACCAGGAGAGATTGGGAGATGAAGTTTTAAGGAGCAGTGCATGTCTTTGTGGAGGATGAATTAGAATTGAGTCCCTTTTACATCTCATCTTGCTGGAGGGTTTGGCCTGCCTTGACCTCCAGAGGTGCCTATATGTTATATATGTATATGCACAGATACACACATGCAGAAATATGCACATCATATATACACATACATTATATATATTGTACATTCATTTACTCATTCCTCTCTAATTTCTCCTGGCTAGAAGGATTTAAGATACCTTTGTATTTGTGGGTGGAATGGGCCAGTGTGGCTGAGTGTGTGTGTGTGTGTGTGTGTGTGTGTGTAGGTCTGTTGCAGGCTTGCCAGTCAGTCTGAATATGTGTGTGTTTCTAAGTGAGGGTCTGTGTCTGTTCATATTTTGGAGTTGCTTCCATGTAGCCTTAGAGCTCTAAGCGCTGGTCAGGAAGGTATGAGTTTTGGTCACTTCCCTGGCTAAAGAAGCCCTCTGGAGCCTGCACAGTGAGGGCACTGGCAGGCTCCATCCCTCCTCACGGACTTGCAGTGGGCACCCTTGCGTCCCTGGAGCCAAGTGGGGCGAGCACACAGTCAGAGGACCCCTCCGTTCAGGGCCCACCAGTTGGCTGCTGCTGGAGTCATTGGAACCCCAGGAGTCCCATGCCCAGGCCACCTAACCCTTGGCATGGTCTCCGCCCTCCCCTCCAGAAGACTGAGTGGTGAGTCTAGTAGGAAAAGAGGCCTGGAGCTGGATCCCCTCAACTCCGTGTGGCAGCACCAACCCTGAGTTTTGGCAGCTGGAGGATTCCGTGGGCTCCCATGGGGCAGTTGGCAGGAGAGGAAGGCTGGTGTCTGTCGGAATGAGTGTAGCCCATTCTCGCCTGCTGGAGACTAATTTCACAAATGATTTTTGCAACAATTAAGAAGTGTGACGGGGTGAAATGGCGATTTCACATCCAGCAGGGCAAAAGGGGTTTACCTGGGAACACAGGAAGCTGCCTCCGAGGTGGGGGGGAAAATCGGTGGCCCTGTCAGTTTTCCCTTGCTAACCTCCTTGCCGAAATGCAGTCCCCATGCAGACATTAATCAGCTGCTAAGGCCTCCAGTTGCTCTGGTCTGCTTTTTGTGTGCTGGGTTGGAGGAGCCTCCAAAGCTTCCCTCCAGTCCCTCACCCTAATCTCTGTCTGTCTCTCTCCCTGCTTCTTTCCCCTCCCCCTCTCCTCTCTGCATCTGTCTCTGTTACACACACACACACACACACACACACACACACACACTTTTCTGTCTCCCTCTGTTCCCTCAGTCTGTCTCTCTTTTCTTTCTCTCACTCTTTTCTTCCTGGCCGTTCTGAGTTCTCCCCAGTAGCTTTCCTCTTAGTCTGTCCATCCTGTCCACCACCTCCCCCATCTCCATGGTTTCCCAAAGTATGTGCAGTCCCCATTGCTCTTTGGGCTGTAACTCAGACCTGAAGCCCTGGGACAGCCCTTTGGTCCTGATGGGGTTGGGCCAAGATCCTCTGGAAGGGCTCCTCCTCTGCTTTGCATCCATCTGGGGCTCTCCCTAAATGAGCCTCTCCAGGCCCAGCCCCGCCTGGTTCCACCACCTGCCTCTCTCTAGAAATCACCCCTGTCCTGGCGCATGGATAACTGTCCCTTAGCTCCACCTCCCCCTGTCTCGTCTGAGATCCCCTCTCCCCTATAGTGACAACAATGCTAACAGGAGTTCTTCCTCTCAAGTCCCCAGATGGACCCCTCCAAGCCCAGTTAAAATGGGAAAGAAAGGCCGTAGGCCTAAAGATCCGGAGCAAGAGCTCAGGTTGACATCGGCTGGGGAAGATGCCCTTTTTCTGGCTGCCTCCAACCTAGACTTTGAATTGATGGCAAGTGCCAGAGATTTAGGACCACAACTGGATTCCCTTTTCCCTGTCCCCAGTGGTCAATGGTCCCTTTCCCCAGCCCAAGGGAGAGGACTCTTTCAGATCCCTGTGCGATGAGTATTTTTTGACAGCGATTACCCAAGAAATCTTCCTTTAAACGGTGGTAAATCCACCTTGAAAACCAGGGGTTTTGATTTCGGTGGGGCCTTTTACATTTTCAGAGGCATGGGCCAAAGACATCGACAAATGGAATTATTCAGTCTTCAAATGTTTGATAATGAGAGAGGAGAGAGGAGTTGGGGGGCGGTCGTGAAGGGACTGGGGAGAGAAACGAAATATCCCGGAACAAAGGCCCCTGTGGAGGCTGGAGACTAGGTCCGGATCGAAATTCCTCAGCGGCTGCATTTGGAGAGGCACCTTTGAAAAAGAACACATTTCCCTCTTCCCCAATCATTGATTATTTTTTTCCTCTTAAGAAGTAGCACTTTCTAAAAGTGACCTTGAAATAAATATATGCCCAAACCTGAAGAGGAAGGGAAGGGAAACTGGTATGTTTTCTTGCTTGATGTTTTTATTCACCACCACCCACCCACCCCCTCAAATAAAGCAGTATTGGTGGAAGGAATTCCACTTCTCAAGGTAAGTAAGATGGGATAATGATCAGGCTTCTCCCAGGCCCACTGCTGAAGAGAATCCCAGCCAGCGTCTTCCTCCCCTTCTTCCTGGGTCTCCTCCTCCTCCTGCGGCTCCTTTGGACTTCCCTCTCTTGCTAACTGCTTCCCACTAGCTTTCTGAGATGAAGTCAAGGCTGTTTTAACAGCTCCCCAATATCTGTAAAAATATTTCCTCTGCCTAGTATCCCCCTTCCCTTGCCATATCAGGGTGGAAAAAGGGCATCCTCAGGAATAGGAGAATGCCTCTCCAATCTGG